TAGAAGTGGACTTGGAGTCTATTAGAAGGAAGAACAAGGCCGGACCGGAGCAGGAGCGCCGCGCCGGGGGAGGGGACAACCAGAGGGACGTCATGCAGAGACAGTACCTCACGTTTAAGCCTCAGACGCTCACCTACCGGGATCCTGTCCTCCGCCCCGGAGTCCTCGGTAACTTTGAACCCAAAGAGCCTGAGCCTCACGGAGTGGTTGGTGGCCCTGGAGAGAAAGCCCAGCCCTTGGTTTTGGGACCAGAATTCAAACATGCAGTTCAAGCCAGCATTAAAGAGTTTGGATTTAACATGGTGGCAAGTGACATGATCTCGCTGGACCGCAGCGTCAACGACTTACGCCAAGAAGAGTAAGCACACTTCCTTCTCTTTCTAAACTGGGGGCACGGTGGTTTGATGGGGATTTAGACCTAGTTAGATTGTTGGAATGCCAAAAAAAAAATCTGTGTCTTTATTGCAAGGGGATGAGAGGTTCTTTGATGCACAAAATGGCCAGAAAGAGGAGACGTCCCCCTTAATGTTACTCTCTTGAGGAGGGGGCGTGTAAAATTCCCGGGTCCTCCACACCAGTGCTGCTCAGACTGACGCCGGTCTGAGCATTTTGTTCCCGACCCGCAGCGAGAACACGGGCTTGTGCCAGGGTGTGAATCAGCTGCCAGCTGACAGTGTTTTAATAACAAAATCTTCCTGGTGCGTTGCTTTCCCCACTGGACCAAGCTCCTTGTCTTGTTGGGGAATATAGCAAATCGCGTCACTAACCGGACGCTTATCTCCTTACGTACCCTCCGCACCGAGCTGGGCACCGACACCCCCCAGGAGGTGCAGAAGGCTCCCTCCGGCGGATAAAGCCGTGCCCCCCTCACCCCATGTTCAAGTTACTTTTGTGTCGTGTGACTTAAAGCCAAGGATTTCCAACCCCTGACTTCTGGCAGACAGTGATTACTGAATGAACTCAGAGCTTTTCTCTTCCAGTTTATTTAGTAGCTGATTCTCCCCATAGGACCTGAGCAGCTTACCTTAGTGTGTGTGCAGGCTTCACCCCCTGCCGCTGGAGAGCTTTGCAGGTGGGATCCCGCTGGTGCAAGGTTCACATGGTCCTCATTTTAAAAGGGGAACGCAGCACGCGCACGTGCACGTGCACACAGACCCCAGCAGCGTCCTGCATGACCGCTGAGTAAAATTCAGGACTGAGTCGGGGCAGCTAAGGAGTCTCTGGACATTCATCCAACGGCAGCTAAGAGCAAATGAAACATGCAGGGAGTAGGAAGAGTAGGGGCGGAGAACCAGGCTGGTGAGGACACCGCAGGGGGTGAGGAGGAAGGACCTGGGAGCAGTTCATCCTCCCAGCCTTCGGGCCCAGCTGGGCCCCCCCTGTGCTGGCGAATGTGGGGACAGCCCGCTTCATCTTCTGCGACAGCTCTCTGGCCGTCTCATTCATGGGGTCTCTCAAGCTCTGTAATTAGGTGTTGCTTTGGTTGATTGTTGACTGACTCTCTTTCATACCAGTTGATGAGGTCCTAAGAGCAAGGACTTTGTTCCTTCCCCAGTTACTTCCCGAACCTGGGACCTGGGAGCTCGGCAGGACCCAGGGGTAAACCTCTGTTGAGAGAATGAATGAGTGAAGGAGCCTGGGGGCTTCGGGGATCGTAGACCAGCTCCCTGCCCTCGCCAACCCTCAGTTATCCGGTCCATAAAGTGGGTCTGACGATAGCTGCCCCCAGGATGGGCACTGCAATTAAAGGACATAACAGACTGAAGTCTGGTGGTTAGAAACTTAAGTATCAATGGCTTTTGTTTTTTAATTGCTGTGGCACTTTCTTCAGGTCACAACGCATCTACCCCTGAGTGTTTCAGTTACTGTTGAACACTGGGGTCCTTCGCTGCTCTATGGAAAGTGCGGACGCCCCACGCGGCGGTGTCTGCCCTGACCTGCCCCTCCTGGTGACGCCCCCAAGGGCAGAGGCTTCGTCACCTTGGTCATTTCAGAACCACCAGTTGCCCTTGAAGGTCCCGTCTTTCTCTGGGTCCTGCTCTCCTGCGTCTGTCTCCCTTCCAGGCTCTCTCTCCTTCCTGCATCCCCTCCCTCTCTTCTTCTCTTTCCTCTCATCTCACCTTCCCTCCTCCCTCCGGCCATGCCTGGCACAGGCCATCATCCCCAAGTTCTTTCCTCGGGCCTGACCGGAGCCGTACTTGGACGTAGGATTGCGGCGTGACTTGTGTGTGGTTCCTGTGAGAACCGGGTCCCCAGTCGAGTGAAAGGGCTGGGTCTGTCTTAGCAGATGCTCCTAAGCCCGTTTTTAAAATTCCATGCCAGTGAGAAAACTTTGTTTTTAATAGTCAAAATATTCAAACATAGTAACTCCCAGAGACTTTTCTTAACTGAATCCACATTAATTTTTCAGTTTGATTCTTTCTCACACTTTCTAAACAATGGGATAAACTTCATTCCTCTGTGAATCCCTCAAAATTCAGTGTGGAGCCATAAATAATGTCTCTGGAGTTATTCATACATTAGAATGTGGTCAGTCAGAAGAATTTTCTCTGAAATAATGAGGGCAGCAGCAGATAACGCACTGCTGAGTTCTGCATCCGGCCTCCCGTGCAGAGCAGCGCTTCTCAGCCCTTACTGGCTGCGGACCGACGTCACCCAGCGCGGCCACATCACACACGCCCTCCCTCCCGCTCGTCCTCCCCAGAGCCCACGGGGGCTGGCATGGTGTCGCGGATTTCTGCAGCTGTGGCCCATGGGCCTTGGCGGCCCTGCTGCCTTCCCTCTGTCACACGTATAAATGAGCCACCTGCCCGGCTTAGAAACCCAGCTTCGGGCTGTTTGTCAGCTGTGACCTCTGACACCGTGGGTAAGGAGTCCGTCCTGGTGGCTGTTCCGTCTCTGCAGATGGGTGTGCCCTGCCCGAGAAGCAGGACAGAGCCGCCCAGCTGCCCAAGGGACTTGGGCTCACGGACGCCACAGCTTTGGGTGACATTCCCTGGCTGAGGGGTTGCTGGTAGAGAGTGAGGGACAGTGTCCAGAGTGGACTGGGGGCCTGCTTCTCTCTTAAAGCCAACAGTGACCTCATCGGCCTTCACACTTACTCGCTCTATAAAAACGTGATTTTCTTCACAATTCAGCAGATGTTGAGTGTCTCCAATAAGCAGGGCATTGCACTGGCCCTGCCCTCAGGGGCTCTCGGGCTCCCCCGGGAGGAGGGCAAGGTGACCGTGACAGCAGAGCCAGAGGAAAAGCGGGGCAACACAACATGGGACAGAGGAGAGGGGCCACGCCGGGTCACAGGGGAGTCAGGGGGCTTGGGGAGGGAACACTGGCCCTGGCCTCAGGGTGAGGACGTGTCCTGAGAAGGGGCGGCTCGTGTGGAAGAGGTGGCGGTCAGCGTGGACTCGGAGGAAAGCAGGTGTGGCTGGCCTGGGTTGGGAAGTGTGTAGGAGACAGAGGGCCATGTCTGCGTGCCCACAGCATCCTTCACCAAGCCTGCCCTGAACGCGGCAGCCAGAGAGGCCCCACCAAGGAATTATAAAGAGAACCTGAGCTGGCAGAGGGGTCCTAGCGTTACATTAGGAACTCAAGAGAGGACGGCAGGACCTAGAGAAGGAGACCCAGGGAGAGGAGGAACGGGAGTCTGAGCAGCAGGCCTGGGCACTGATGGAGGGGCAGGAGGACCCAGCCATCAGTCCAGGGCTTCGAGGCACAGGGACAGAAAAGAGGATGCTGGTGACCAGGTGGGGGTCAGAACAGGACCGGCTGCTCCATCCGGAGCACCAGCTCTGTCCCCAGACCCACCTTTCTGGCCCCAGCCCAGTCCCTCCCGGCCCGGCTTTGGGACGTGCTGTCTGTGGACATGTTAGATTTTCCTCTGATAAAGTCTGGGATTTCACTTCCTTTGCTGTGAACTGACTTCTGATGCAAATACATGGAAATTACTCTCACCCTTTTTCTGCCCGAGAAGGCAGACAGTCAGGGGATACAGTCCCAGCCATTTTGTTTCAGACAAATGAATTCAATATTTTGACTTGTTGAACAAATTCATCTCCTTCGACTGTCTGACCTGCCCTCCTCCCTGCACTCCGGCTGCGTTTCTGTTGTGCAGAACGCCAGCCCCGTTGCACTGACAGAGCGAAACAATGGATGTTAAAGTGCCGGGAACCCTGCGAGCTGTGCAGATGTTAGTGTGATTAATTGTTACTAACTTTGTTAAGCTTGTCTGTGGGAAACTGCGTTGTTTTTTAAGATATCTTACATTGACATTCATGCCTTACACACTAGATAATTCTCCTTGGATACCAAAACACGGGTGTTTATACTCTTATTTTAGGTAACTGTGGTCGCGAGCTTTCTCATTCCCTGCCGACGGTGAAGGCTCTCCTTGGTTCCTTTGTTGACAGTACAGTGCTGACACTTATCAAATCGTTGCTATTTTCAAAACGTGCTGTAGAGTTCTTTGTCTGATTTCAGTTTCTGTACATCATGACCCAGTTCAGTTAAGCACTGAGTAAAAGCAGAGAGCAGCTCGGAAGAGGTTAAAACACGTTATTAGAATAATCTATAAATCATACACACACCTGTCTGTGTGAATCACATGCTCCAGTACTTTGTCCCAGTTTCTGTTGTCACGCTGCGTGGTGGTTCTGTGCGACCCCATCCAAACGACAGGGACCGCCGTCGCTAACACGCCACCCTTTTCTCTTAGATTTCACCCAAAGTATGTCTCACTTTTCAAACTACAGTTTGGCAGCATTAGTGCTTGTCCGCAGGAAGCACGTGTGGAGTTGTTTCCAGGTGACCCGCGATGGACGTGCTGCTGCCTTTATGTCCAAAAAGTACTCCTCTCTAACCCGGAAAATTTTTACTCTCAGAAGCCACTTTTTGTGCATTCAGAGGCTTTTCCAGATTAACTTTAAAAAATAGTGTTCTGATGCCTACTTTCTTTTCTTCTTTCTCTTCCGAACACACACATCTGAACACACACACACATTGGCTGCACTTTGGACTTCTCTCAGTGATGGGGGCACAGCTGATTTCTGTTTAAGGTCCTGGCTGACCAAAGGGGACATAGCCAGACTGGAATTATTGTAGCGATCGGGGTGACTCAGGTCAGCCCAGCTTTCACAGAAAGTGGAAATAGAGGCCCCCATTGCTGGAGGCCACTGTTGGCAGGGCAGCAGCAACCCTGAGCCCCCGGCCCCTGGGGGGCACGCCAGGGTGCTCACTGCCTTGGTGGGGGCCTTCCTCCACTGCCGAGACCCGGGCTGGTTAAGGAGGTCCCTCCTGCTCTCTTACTAAAAGGGACGTAGCTTCGTGTTCCCCATACCCCACCGCCTTGTACAAAAGTACAAGTTTTGCCTGATAAAAATGATAAACTCAGGTTGCTTGTTTTGTTTTTTCACAGCCCTCCATCCCCAACCAGGAATTTAGAGTAAGTTCCCTGGAAACTACTTAGAAAAATATCCACAGAGGGACCGCTGGGGGCCCCGTCACATCCCTCCCCGGTGACAGATGGCCTCAGGGAGACCTTGACTCTCATTTCTCTTCAGGGTGCGTTTTCCACCCATCGGGAGCCCTGACACGGGGATCGGGGGGTGGTACCCTCTTCTGCCGGAGCACTGAGTTTTGGAGCTGATGGTCATTTCAGAGTGTTGGGTCACTGCGCTCTGACAAAGGTCGTCCGTCCCTCAGCAGACAGCCCCTGGCCTACCACGGTGCCCGTGGGTGTCAGATACTGGCCATTCTCTCAGAGGTTGGCCTCCGCCCCAGGGATTCAGCCACCGGACCGTCAGATTCACCTGTTCCCTTGTTCAGCACCCATTTATGATAAAAATTCTTAGCAAAGTGGTATGGAGGGAACATATCTCCACAAAATAAAAGCTGTTTATGGCAAACCCACAGCCAGCATAATACTCAACAGTGAAAAGTTGAAAGCCTTTCTGCTGAAATCCGGGAATGAGACAAGCCCACCCTCACCACTGCTGTTCAACATACTATTGGAAGTCCTAGCCATAGCAGTCAGACAAGAAAAAGAAATAGAAGGGGTCCAGATTGGGAGAGAAGAGGTGAAACTGTCACCTGTTCCCTTGATGTGTCTCCATGTGCGTCCCGGCCCCGGTGTGTTTGGTAAACAGGGAAGTGGGCCTGGGGGTCCTCCGTTTCCTGTTGCGTGGTGATGTGTGGAAATGGTCCGGCACGGATTCCCACAGTCCCTGGAGAAGAAAGTATTTCTCTCTAGCGCCAGAAATGGGGTGGTGGCTTCAGGATGGCCCCGCTGCACTGTGCCGGGCCGTGCGGACCGCAGGGCATCCCAGAAGCCACGAGGAGTGTGACGGAGGAGGAAGGCTGCTTGGGACCATCATTTAGTCCGGGCATTGCTGCCCTGCCCTGGAAGAGAATGTCTCCCGGGACCTACGAAAGGAGAACGCGAGACCCTGGGTTTAAAGCCTGTGAAGATGCAAAGGATGGGCTGTGATCAAAGTGCACGTTGGCGGGGACTTTAACTGACGGATTGATTTGGGTTTCCTCAGGCTCTAGCCCTCAAGGTCCCTAGGTATTCAGTGGTCTGGTCCTAGCCCTATTGTTCCTTTACGTCTTATTTTTCTTTCTTCTTTTCTTTTAAACCCATGATTTTACAAGACAGAAGGTTTTCCAGGGGAAAAAAATGTGTATGCATCAGAACAGAAGGGCGTGGATTGCAGGGAGTCAAAGCCAAGCAGTGGGCACTGGATTAGAGCAAAATCATCCACTTGAAGCTGGGTATTAAGCCACGCGTAAGCCAGCATTTACGGAAGAGGAGCCCCCTCCCTGTTCTAGAAACACAGCAGCCATTCCAGAGGACAGAGCCCTCACGAGCGGTACCCATGGGTGGTTCTATCTGGTCAAGGACCGGGGTTGCAGAGAATCAGCAAGTCTACTGGGGAAGAGGAGACCGTCTTTCAAGTGGTGGTACCACGTCCTCCTCCTACTCAGCCTGGGTCTCGGGCCGCCTGCCTCCACTCCTCCATCGATGGGGGTCGGGCTGCACCCCATGTCTGCCGGCCCCGAACCTGCCCGGCCTCGGGACTGAAGAGTGAGCCCGGGGCAGCGACAGAGACGTCTGTGGCTCATGGGTGGATGGGGAGCTTATGTGTCTGAAGCCAGGTCTGGAGTGACGCCCACTGTGTGTGGCCGGCCGGCAGGTGGGCAGGAGTCTCTGCTCCGGGGGGAGAGCGAGGTTACTTACTGGTTGCTGGGGAAATTGATGTCAGCTTGGCCTTTCAGTTACGAGGGAAACCAGCAGAGGAGCACACCCCTCATCACCCCTTTGATAAGCTGTCAGAGTGGGCACAGTTCTGATCTGAAGACTAGAACAGCCATCAGCTGGGCTCTGCGATGAGGAGGGAAGGTTGGTCGGTCGTGTGAGGCAGCGACTGGCCGGGCAGGGGACGGACGGAGGGCAGCAGGACAGCCGTCTGGGGGGCCCGACCGCACAGTGGGGCAGTCGTGATGGCTCCCGCTCCGAGGGGAGAAGGCAGGGCCTTGGAGGAGCTGCAAGCCAGGACCAGCAGCCCACCTTGTCCTTCTTAAGCGGGGACCGTGGGGAAGTGAGAGGGCTGCTTGGTCGTGCCACTTCCTGGGTGCACTGTAAGGAAGTTGATCGCTTTGCTCACTGTGGCCGAGTGTGTGAAAAGTGCACTTGGTACATCACAAACGGAATTCTTGTCACTTTTGCAGCATGAAAGGTGACATGCTAACAAGGAGAAAGGCCAAGCTAATCGCGTGGGGTAAAATGACACAAAAATACAGTCTAAATCCAGTAATACCTTTTAGTTTGCCTCTGGGAACTGGCCCGTGGGTTTGCCTTCCTCTTCCCAGAATCCTGGGGGAGCATCCCCTCTCCCAAATGGAGCTAACATGCAGGAGGCGACCCTCATGTCTGACGACCTAGTAACTCATGCTGGACTGCTCATCGCCACTTCAGTCAAAAGAAAAACACCCGCGTCTTCTCCAGAACAGCAAGTTCCAGGAGCAGCTCAGAACCGGGACAAAGCCTCTGGAGAAAGGCTGGAGCTTCCAGCTGCACGTGCCCGAGACACTGGAGAAGCACGACCGTGCCCTCAGGGGCCGCAGAGTCTTCTGAGGAAGGACGGACCGCCCCATGTGGGGCCGCTCGTTTCGTGGGGCAGGAAGTCCCCGCCCCGGAGCCAGACACGCTCTGTGCAGGCCATCGGGGGGTTTCTCCTGAGTCCGGGGAGCGCGAGGGAGGCTGGAGGAAGACGGGAAGCTCTTCCTGGAAGCTTTCCTTTGAGTCTATGTGAATCACAGCTGACTGGGGAAATGGCATCCGGTGTTCTTACCTCAAACACTGAAGGGTCTGTTCTAAGCAGAGGGTGAGACCAGCCAGCTTAGGGTCTGGCTGGTCCTTCGAGTCCAGGGGGTGGAGTGTCCGTCCCCACAGCCTCCTGGGTGCCGGTGGGCCTGGGGAGAGGACGGGCTGCGATGGCAGGGTACTGGGGACGTGCCGTCCACGTGGAATGACACAAAGGCGGGCTCCAGCCCTGGGGTGTTTGTTTACACCTACTTATGTGGTTTTGGGGAAATGTTTCTCAGGCACTTTAAATGAGATCCGAGCCTGCCTTCCACTCCCCCGCGATCAGCTGTCACTGTGATGGTGCTTCCTTCCTTATTTCTCTGCTGCAGCAGCTAATGAAGACCAACGATGTTCAGTTAATGCCAGGGAGGAGGCTTGTCCATTTACTGAGCACCCACTGTATGCCCGGCAGTGTCTCCACTCCTCGTAACTGTGCTGAAACAGCACATTTCTTCCCTCTATGTTTGTAGATGATGGAACTAAAGCTCAGAGAGGCAGATGACTTGAAGGTCACACAACTAGCAGGTTGCACTGGTGGGATTACAATTCCAGCTTCTACACCACGTTGCCTTGCTAGTGACGCTAAACTAATGGCCAGGGGATGTGTTACAGTACATTACAGCATATTAGCTTTTCTGAAGAGGAAAACAGTTAGGAAAAGGTAAAAGGCTTTGTATCTCATTATGGCAGAATTTTCTCCTGCTTCTAAGCCAGGTGTTCTCAGTCTCTGCACTGCGGACAGTCTTTGCCAGTGGCTGTCCTGCACGTTGCCTGTGCGTTGCAGGACATGTAGTGGCGTCTCTGGAATCTACCCACTAGATACCTGTAGCACAACCCCCACCCCCATCCCTAACTGTGACAACCCGGAATGTCTCCACGCTTTGCCTTATGTCCCCTGTAGGGCAGTGTCTCCCCTGATTCGTGATCGCTGCTCTAAGGGGTCGATCAAAGGTAATGCTGGCTGGAGGGGCGGGGCGGGGAGTGGGGGTGGAACCCAGTGAAAAAGCAGAGATGGGACTTCCAGCATTATCAGGGACAGTCAGCATGGACTGGTGGGATGAGCCAAACAGGAAGCCCTGGTCCCAGGTGAAATGAAGTCAGTTACTGGCGGTGGCAGGTTTCATGGCAGGTCTCCAGCAACGTCACTGCAGGCCATCAGAGTGTCCAGTGATTGTTCGTGGACACGCAGTATCTCCTCTCTCTTGTTTTTAAACATAACAAGTACTGGGTGTGGAACAGAGGGCCATCCTTTCTTCCACTTAAATGAAAAGGCCCCACCCTTATCTCTTATCTAAGTCCGCCCTTGTCAGTGGGGTCCCCAGTGACATTTCCCAAATTTGGTGCATATTTATTTGAGCTTTATCCTAAGTTATTCCACTCATTTCTCCTCTTGAGTGATCCCCTTGTTTCCATCCCCTTTGCTTCCACCCAGGAGAATTACTGATACTTGTGGGAGAAATTATGCAGTAACAAGAAAAACATTGATAATGCTTCTATTATTAACCTGTGAAAATAGTTTCACATTGTGCTCATCAGGGTTGTTGTGGAAACATACCTTAGTTATAGAAGAGCAGGTATGAGAACGCGTCATGTGAAGGGGAAGCATGGAGCGTACCTGGTGAACAGATGGGCGTGTTCAAAGCCTCTAGACCAGCAGTTCTTCAGCTTTTTGGTCTCGAGACCCCTTTACATGTTTAAACATTATTGAGAGCCCCGAACTGTAGAGCTGTAGTTTATATGGGCTATATCTATCGCAGTTTATTATACTGAATTTAAAACGGAAGTTTTAAATTATTAACTTAATTAATAATAATAAACCCCGTTCCATGTGAACATATTTTATGAAAAATAACTGAATTTACCCTCCCCCCAAAAAAAGTCTAATAAGAGTGGACTTATCCTGGATTTTCACCAGTTCCTGTAACACCTGGCTTACAGAACACAGCCTGGTTCTGCGTTCAGTCTGTGCCCGCACGAAGTATATGAAGAAAACCTGGCCTCGCACAGACATGGAACTGGGAAGTGGGGGATGGAAGGTAACTGTGGCTATCCTTCCACACCACACCAAAACACAAGCGGGCGCGTCTTCAACGTAGTCACCATGTAGACTCTGAATCCTGCAGAAGACCTTTCACTCCCCTGTTGTCTGTCAGTCTTGCCCTTGGACGGGTCCCCTACCTTACGTGATGTTGTAGCACCGTGTGTTGGTCAGCTAGAAAATACCGGTTTCCTGAGCAGTGCAGATTGTCCAAGTATCGACAGCTTCCTTGTACAGTAACAATAGCAAAGCCCCATTTGTTAATAGTGTCGTCAGTCTCATCAGAAATATCTTTAACCCCTGGGATGCTGTCATAATTCCGAGATTCTGAGTTTTGCTGGAAAGCTCAAGTTTTATCATCAGCAACAAAGGACGTCAGTTGCTTTCCTTGAAGTGTCAGACTCCCGTCATTTGTGTTTTGAGAAAATGCCGAACAGCCAAGTCTGGTTGCCCATGGTTCCTCCACAGGTCCTTTCGGGTACCGATGGCATTTGTGAGGAACTTGGCGACTTCACGTGGGACTCAGTGGCACAGTGCTCTTCCTCGAGACAACAGTTGTACTCGGTGGGCGCGGAAGTCCTTTGTGCACACCTCCCTCCTGTCTCACAGAAGACTACAAAGCGTGTCCTCAAGGGCGAGATTTCATACGAGTAGCACGTCTTCATCAAGGAAGACTTCCTCCTCCATCCAGGCCGTTTGGTGGGCGTGGCACCGGCTTTACGTCGAGTGCGGGAGGGTGAGGAGCACCATGGCCACAGGACCTTTTGGTGCTATCACCTTGATCTCTGCTAAGGTGCCAGCAGTTTTATCCACCTTTGCTTTCCCACAGTCAGATTAGAGGTCAACACAGTGAAAGCATAATGAGGTCTTAGTATTTTCATGAAAAGTTAATTCTGACCTAACCAAACTCCTGAAGGTGTCTTGGGACCCCCACGGATCTGTGGATCCTGCTTTGAGAACCACTGTTACAGATTTTAGAATAAACTAGATGAATAATAAAAACATAATGAGACTCTTCCAAAAAAAATTGTCATCTTCAGTCTTCCAGTTTGAGCCTCGACAACTACAGCATCATTTTATAAAGTTCAGGGAGCTCTCTTCTACCTGATTCATTGATCATTTCACCCGATTCTATGGTTAGCAAAGATTTACATAATTAAATGCTTACTTAATCCAAAATTTAATTGAACTGTGTTTTAATTATCTGATAAATAAGAACTTGATTTTATATTATCAAAGTGCTAGAACATCTGTAAAAGGGTGGATGACCTGAAAGTATGAGGTGCTATCTCTAGACTAATTACTTACGGATAAAGTAATAGGAAAAAAAAAAGAAGACCAGCTTTAATATTCCTGGGACAGAAATGTTTATTTTAAATGTATGATCAGCCAGCCTCCAAATTTGGGGTATTTCCCCCTCGTCAAAATAATTTAAATGATTCAGAAAAAAACTCATGGGACAAAATAGGGATTCAGCCCCTGAGAGTCAAAGTTCAAGAATTTCTTAGTTGGATACTGTATTATGTCAATACTTTGTATTGATCGCTTTGGGAGTTTCAGGAATTACACAGCATAAGGCACAAAAGTTACCTGTGTTTTCTAAATTCTAGAGATAGGCCTAGGATAGCTACCAACACATCATATAAATGAGCCATAAAATGTGGTCAGTGGCATTAACTTGATGAGAACGTCTGAGCAGACGCTATGCAGGTGACCCAAGTTGGCTTCTGCACCGCCTGCTCATTGGCTGGGCACACCTGTAAACTCGTTCATGCAACACCTTCCCCTTAGGCAAGTTACCAGATTAAAAAATGGTATTTTATTAGTGGCAGTGTTTATATAGACAAAATAATTAAGTTTCGAAGTTGAAGTATGTCTTAGGACCAAATTTTTAGGAAGTTTGAGGAAACGTCCTAAGTTTGAGGAAAATATAGCAACTTGAGGGCATACTTTGATATTTTCACCCCCACTTCCATTTAAAAAAGCAGTCTTCTGTATCATCGCTGAGTATCAGAAGGCACTTATTATGTCTATTCTAAGGATTGCAAAACTTTGAGCAGATAAACAATGGAATCAGAAGAATTCACTCAAAGCCGACGTAACCAGGACATGAGTACAAAGCCAACCCTGTGAGACGATTGAATTAAGCCTTATTTTCCTCATCAGTGTCCTTTATAAAGTATAATGTGTGAGTTGCACACCTTTGGTGTTGATTCTGTGTCTCTGTCCTGATAGGGTGCGAGGTCACTCCTCACAGTCCGCTCTGACCCTTCGTTTCCTCATCCATAAAAAGAGGGAGCAGTCAGTGTTTTTAGCTCGTTTCAGCTGCAGAATCTGCAAAATCCTTTCTTCCAGTGGCTTCCTAGATAACAGCTCTGTGCCTTGGTTCTCACATCTGTGTGAAATCCCCGGGCTCCTCAGTCCACTTTGGAAACCACTCAACTAGGTGTCCACAAAGGTCTTTTCCATTATTTTTATTATTTTTTTTTCTTAATGGAGGTACGGGGGATTGAACCCAGGACCTCATGCATACTAAGCATGCACTCTGCCACTGAGCTGTCCCCTCCCCTCGTTTCTATTTTAAAAGTAGTTCTTCCTGTGTTTCTATAATCTCCCCTGAGGCTTCCACGTGTTTCTCTAGATGCAAAGCCAAGCAGAACCAGCCAGCCAGCAGCTGGTGTCCAGCTGTCATCATTGTAGCTCTGCAGAGTTTTGGTGCTGCCTCCTTCTGCCCCGCCCCCCGAGCCCCTGAGCCCCTGCCAGGTGTGACGGCTCTTCCTGGGGAGTCACGGGAGACGCAGTGTCCGTGCAGAGGCAGGTGCCGCTGTGATCCCAGCAGTGCAGCTGTGTGCGTGGCAGGGGGCAGAACTCGCACCCCACGTCCAGCCCGCATCACTGCCTGCCCTGGCAGGGAGAGCCTCAGGCCGGTGGCCAGGACTCCGGGCCCACCCTTCTCTGGTTTCCCCAGAAGCAGGAAGGGGACCAGGATAGATTAACTGGGAGACAGTCAGCTGTTCTGTCGCCAAGCCCATCCCCGCTAGTGTCCCCAGGATGCGGCCCTGTTAGGAGGCCGCCTGTCGTGAACCTTGGTGTATGCGCTCCTGGGGGTGGAGGGAACCCACTTTGCCACCAAAACCAGGACCTGAGTCCCCAACCCCCCTTCCAGCGGCGACTACTGTTCGCTGCATGTCTGTTGTGTTCTTTGCCCACACGTAACATATACGTGTATCCGTGGGTTTCAGAGCATAAGATACTTGTTTTGTGTCCTAAAAGCTTGTTGCTCCCTTCCCTCCGTTGTGTGGCTCCCACGCCTGCATCCTCTACCCCGGGATGGGGGTGGGTAGCACACTGACACCTGTGGACGGCGAGTCCCCACCAGCAGTGGCGTGGGTGACGTGGGCACTGGCTTCTGTGCCCCGCTCCCCTGCAGCCTGGGGTGGCCTGGTCTTCCCTCCACACCCACACCCTTGGATTGGCCGCCTCCATCACTGTCCTTCGCGGCCAGTGCTTTGCTTTCGTCTAACTCCTCACATGATCCAGATAGACTGGCGGTCAGGAACCAGGGCCTGAGATCTCACTGTCGGAACCGCCCGGCAGCTTTTAGAGGGGATGAAAGGGACACATCAGGAGCCGTGCTCGTACTCTGGTCAGTGTTTCACAGACTCAGAATTCTAGAGCCAAGGGGGCCCGAGAGGTTGCTTGGTACTATTCCTTCATTTTGCGGACAAGGAACCAGAAGTCCCAAGAGCACGTGCCTCTCCGGGATGACCCGGCCGCAGGAGGCGTCCCCGTCTCCTGGGCCTTTCACCGCTCGCGGCAAAGACCAGGAAGTCTGCCTGTCGGAGAGAGCAGTCATCTCAGTGTCGTATCTGTCATATCATTTATGAAACATCTTTACGGGAATAAAATTCTCAACTTAGGAGCAAAAGGGGTATGTTGTCCATTCCAAAGTGACTCTTTCAGTGTCGTCACTTAACATCCCAGCTCTTGGCAGCCAGGGCCTCTGTGTAAGTCTAGGTTGGAGGAAGCCATCCTGGGGAGAGCAGGGAGGCCAGTGGAAAGGAGCCATCTGCAGTGTGAGAGTAAGAGCATCGCCCTGCACCCACCTATGGACGACACAAATTTCAGGTCACATTTCTCTGCTCTGCACGTGTTCGCAGATGACACAGAAATGTCCCGAGTGCGGATTCTGAGTCACAGACATTTTAGGGAGTAGGCAGATTAACAGACACTGGGTCCAGGCGTAATAAGGAGCCCCACTCTGTGTCTGTGTATCTGAGTATGGAGCGCAGGTTAGCCACAGACATATTAGTATATGGTTGATGGACAGCGTGCCCAGGGCCCCATTATGGTTAATGCAAATCTTAGTAACTGTAATGGTGATTCTAATGGACCAAATATTTTTACCTGTTAATTTATGCCGAAAAGAAAATCTGATAATGGCTTTTAGAAATGTCAAGACCAAAAAGCACAGAATGTTAAGTTTTTCCAAAGTACAGAAATAAACTGGCCTCGTTGTGATTAACGCACCCTGTCTTCTACCTTTCTCTTCTCCTTCCCCCTCCAC